TTAACAGGTGTTAGGATTAAGTTTAAAGATAATGGAGTAAATAAAATAAACAGACTTCTTTTTTTCCTTTTTCTTTTGTTAAAAGTTTTTTTTTTTTAAATTCCAGTAGAGTTAACATACAGTGTTTTTTTTTTTTAATTTTTTTTTTATTATTATGATAGTCACACACACAGAGAGAGAGAGAGAGAGAGGCAGAGACATAGGCAGAGGGAGAAGCAGGCTCCATGCACCGGGAGCCCGATGTGGGATTCGATCCCGGGTCTCCAGGATTGCGCCCCGGGCCAAAGGCAGGCGTGAAACCGCTGTGCCACCCAGGGATCCCCCAACATACAGTGTTATATTAGTCTCAGGTATACGGTATAGTGATTCAGCAATTCTATACATTACTCAATGCTCATCATGAAAACTGTATTCTTTAATCCCCATCACTATTTCATCCATCATCTTATCTACCTTCCTTCTGGTAACCCTCTATAGGTAAGAGTCTAATTCTTGGTTTCTCTCTCTCTTGCTTCTCCCTCTCTTTGTTTGGTTTCTTAAATTCCTCATATGAATGAAATCATGATAATTCATCTTTCTTTGACTGACTTATTTTACTTAGCATTATATACTGCCTGGTGCTCTCCAGGTTGCTGCATATGACAAGAGTTCACTCTTTTTTATGGCTTAGTATTATTTCATTGTATGTATATACCACATCTTCTTAATTAATTAATTAATTAATTAATTTATCTTTTAAAGCATTTTTTCTTTTTTTTAATTTTTATTTATTTATGATAGAGAGAGAGAGAGAGAGAGAGAGAGGCAGAGACACAGGCAGAGGGAGAAGCAGGCTCCATGCACCGGGAGCCCGACGTGGGATTCGATCCCAGGTCTCCAGGATCGCGCCCTGGGCCAAAGGCAGGCGCTAAACCGCTGTGCCACCCAGGGTTTCCCCCACATCTTCTTTATCCATTCATGTGTCAGTGGACTCTTGGGCTGCCTCCATAACAAATTATTTACAACAGCCAAAGCTGTTTGGCTTGTTGTAAATGCTGCAGTAAACATTGGGGTTTGTGGATTCTTTAGGCTTAGGGTTTTGTATTCTTTGGGTAAATACCTAGTAGTGCCATTCCTGGATTGTAGAGTAGTTTTATTTTTAATTTTTTATAGAACCTCCATACTGTTTTCTAGAGTGGCTGCACAGTTTACATTTCCAACAACAGGGCAAGAGGGTTTTTCTCCCCCCAAGTCTTTGCCAATACCTGTTGTTTCTTGTATTTTTTATTTTAGCCATCCTGACAAGTGTGAGGTGATACCTCATTGTAGTTTTGATTTGCATTTCCCTGATGATGAGTGATTTTTTTTTTTTTTGATGATGAGTGATCTTGAGCATCTTTTTTGTGTGTCTGTTGGGCATCTCTATGCCTTCTTTTGAGAAATGTCTGTTCAAGTCTTCAGCCCATTTTTAAATTGGATTATTTATTTTTTGGGTGTTAAGTTGTGTAAGTTCTTTATATATTTTGGATACTAACCCTTTATCAGATATGTGATTTGCAAATATCTTCTCCCATTCAGTAGGTTGTCTTTTAGTTTTATTGATTGCTTCCTTTGCTGTGCCAGAAGCTTTTTATTTTGATGTAGTCACAATAGTTTATTTTTGCTTTTGTTTCCCTTGCCTCAGGAGACATATCTAGAAAAATGTTGCTATGGCCCATGTCAGAGAAATTGCTACTTGTGCCCTTTTCTAGGATTTTGATGGTTTCCTGGCACACTTTTAGGTCTTTCATCCATTTTGAGTTTATTTTTGTGTATGGTGTAAGAAAGTAGTCCAGTTTCATTCTTTTGCATGTAGCTGTGCAGTTTTCCCAACACCTTTGTTAAAGAGACTGTCTTTTGCCCATTGGTATATTCTTGTCTCTTTTGTTAAAGAGTAATGCACCATATAATTGTGGGTTTGTTTTGGGTTTTCTGTTCTGTTCCATTGATCGATGTAGATATTTTTGTGTCAGTACTGCACTGTTTCGATTACTACAGCTTTGTACTATGACTTGAAGTCTGGAATTGTGATGCCTCTAGCTTTGTTTTTCTTTTTTAAGATTGTTTTGGCTATTTGGGGTCTTTTGTGATTCTATACAAGTTTTAGGATTATTTGTTCTAGTTCTGTGAAAAATGCTGTTGGTATTTTGATAGGGATTGCATTAAATCTGTGGATTGCTTCTTCCATCGGTGTTTTATAGTATACTTATCAGTTCTAGTAATTTTTTGGTCTAGTCTTTTGGGTTTTCTACATAGAATATCATGTCATCCGCAGATAGTGGAAGTTCTATTTCTTCCTTACTAATTTGGATGCCTTTTACTCCTTTTTATTTTCATATTCCTTAATTTTTATTTTTTATTTTTTTATTTTTTTAAATTTTCATATTCCTAATATGTATCTTGACTTTCTAAGAGATAGTGTTTCCCTAATTCATTTTGCCATGAAATACTTTTTATTTATTTTTATTTATTTTTAAATTTTAAAAAAGATTTTTATTTATTCATGAGATACAAAGAGAGAGAGAGAGAGATTGAGAGAGAGAGAGAGAGAGAGAGAGAGAGAGAGAGAGAGTGAGTCAGAGACACAGGCAGAGGGAGAAGCAGGCTCCACGCAGGGAGCCTGACTGGAGACTCGATCCAGGGTCTCCAGGATCAGGCCCTGGGCTGAAGGCGGCGCTAAAGCGCTGAGCCACATGGGCTGCCCTGATACTTTTTAAAGTAAATATTAAGCTTTGCAAAGTGCTGGCCTGAGTCCTTGAACAACATGATGGATTATGTCTTCAATATCATTTTTACAAAAGATACAATTGCTTTTTATTTGACCTTTCCTTATGTTGATTTAAATTTTCTTTGAAACACAATCCAGGGGATGGCTAACTTCTTCCAAGAAATCTGGATTCTCCCTATCCACAAGGCATTGCTTTTTTTTTTTTTTTTTAAGATTTTATTTATGTATTTGACAGAGAGAGAGAATGAGCACACATACACAAGCAAGGGGAGCAGCAGAGGGAGAGGGAAAAGCAGGCTCTCCACTGAGCAGATTGCCCAGTGCGGGGCTTGATCCCAGGACCCTGGGATTTTGACCTAAGCCAAAAGCAGATGCTTAACCAACTGAGCCACCCAGGCACCCCAGGAATTGGTGCTTTTGAAAAGCATGTGCAGGAGTGCTTTAGGAAGTAAGTATTTCTGTTGTCTGCTAGCCTGTTGACCTGGCAGCTGGTCTAGGAGTCGCTCAGGGGCATGGTAATTCTTGATTGAGGCTGATTTTATTTTTTCTAGTGTAATCTGGCTCTCTAGAACCTACACCTACTAGGGCTACAGCTGTTTCAATATGTAGCAGGGGCCTGAGTTCTCTGCCTTCTCTCCAGGGCCCTGCTGGGACTAATTATTTTGAAAACACTAGTAGCAGCATGCTTCCAATTTAGCCCCCAGATGTAAGCTCTTTTGGTCTTCCTTGCTGCTTTTCAACCTGTTTGTCACATACTTCTTATACCCTAATCAGCTCTCCCATTTCTCCTCCCTTCTCCTAAACGTGTATGTTTGCTCTTTCCTTGTTTATGGGAAACAAATTTTCCTCTGTTACATTAACCTCTGCTATGTTAACTTCCATCTCTTTATTTAATGTTTCATTTAATGTTTCTTTCACCCACTGGCCTTACTTGATTGAAGTACATCTTTAAATCGTTTCTTTTTTCTGACAACCAGGAGGTTGGGCCGACTAGTCAGTATTCTCCAGTTTCAGTGGTACATGCAGACAGACTATATTCCTCTACTTTTTCAATTAACAGGAACAATTTAAATAAAATTCTGTTCTTTTGGGCCTTAGGTCTTTTAACTTTCTTACTTCTATTGCTGTCAATTTTCTCTCATTTGAAGATTTTGGTACCTAGATATCATCTTTATTTTCACCCCTAGTCTTGCCATTTATTCATTTGGTAGCCATAGCCTATCCATTTGTAATTTCCTCAGCTTGAATCCATTTGGACTTTATTTTTTATATGTGGTGTGAAATACAGCTCCATTCTTGATGATCCAGTGATGGGGAAGTAATGATGGTAACTTGACCACTTGAGGAATGCTGCATTTTAGAGTATATAAATCGCCTCATGAATTGATTGGCTCTGAGAAGATAAGGGCAGAAAAAAATTCTTAGGAATGTTTAACATGTTTTATGTTTAATGTTTAATATATTTAAAATTTTAATTTTATAGTAATGAATGAGAATTGGACCTGAAATGATAATATCTGGCTATGCCATAATCTTGATTCAAAGAGAAGGGTTAGCTATTTTGCTAATGATAGTGCAGTAGAAAGAGCATTGAATAGTTTGAGGTCCAGCCATTTACAGATCACTTACTTTCTCTTTTTTCCTACTGCAAACTGGAGAGAGTAATAACTGATTTATAGTTGTTGGGCTAATAAAATGCAATAATTGGATATAAGAGTATGTGTGTTCTGTAAACTTTCGATGTTTAAGATCTAATAAAAATTAGAGAAGTATTCTCTCCTAAGATAAGATTGCTCTTCAATGTCACATTGTCTCCATAAAAAACTTTGATTTCTCTATACCATGTGTTTTTATAGGAAACGTGTGTTTTTATAGGAAAAAAATTTTTTTAAAAAGCATTTGTTATTTGTGGTACTTTAATCTGAATGATAATTGTTGGGGTTGGCAGAGTGTAGTGAACATTATTCGGTGCAACTATTGTAAGTCTAAGGAAAAAAACGTTTTTTTTAAGATTCTTTATATATTTATTCATGAGAGACACACAGAAGCAAAGACCCAGGCAGAGGGAGAAGCAGGCTCCCTGTGGGGAGCCCGATGTGGGGCTCAATCCCAGGACCCCAGGATCACGACCTAAGCCAGAGGCAGATGTTCAACCACTGAGCTACCCAGGCGCCTCTAAGAAAAAAACTTATTTCTTATGATCCTATACTTGAATTATACTGTTATAATTATCTTTTTAATGTTTCATTTACAGGTATATGATGTTGATTGATGGCACAAATGAAGTTTTTATGATTGATAGAGATAATTCAGTGTTTCATGTTTCAAATCTGGAATTTCCATTTCGTAAAGATCTCCGCATACATTTATCAAATACTCTCTTGGATGGGGTAAGTCCCTTGTTGTTGTTACTGTTTTAAATTAGACCGATACTGCTATTTTTGTTTTTTCTTGCAAGTGAATGTTTTTTTTTTAGAGGGGGGAGGGGCATAGGGAGAGGAAGAGAAAGAATCTTAAGCAGGATCCAGTGCCCAGAGCGGAGCCCAAAGTGGGGCTCAACCTCACAACCGTGAGATCATGATCTGAACTGAAATCAAGAGTTGGACACTTAATTGACTACAGGTACCCTTAAATGTGTATTTTTATTAATTCATTAGGAAATTTATAATCTACTTTTTTGAAGTTTTTTTTTTTTTTTGGAGAAAACACTCTCACTTGATCATTGTCTTGGGTATGGGAATAACTGAACAAGGTTAAATCTTATTTATTTTTTTGCTCTTTGTGACTGAAAAAATAATGCTTGTTGAAAAAGACTGTTTTATTATTTTAATATTAATTGAATTTCAATTACTTGATGCAACATTATCACATTTTCCCTTGACTCTTCAGCTACATGGACTAGTAATTCTTGTTTAAAGAGAATCAAGCCTTTGAAAGCAACCATTATACTTTTATATTTGAATTTTAAAAGCTGGTATGAGTTTTCCTATTTCAGAAAATCTGTATTTAATACTCATAAAATTACTTGATTAAAAATGTTTTACCTTGCTCCTGTATAAACAGCTTTCTTCATCCCAATTCTGAAAATATTTGTTCATTGTAAATACAAATTAAAATAATATAGAACATTAGGAAAAAGCTGGTAAAAATCACCAGACCTACCATTGGAGTAACTTTGATGACCATTTTGATGAACATTCTTCTAGGCTTTTCTCTGTGACAGAGTGTTCAATCTTATGTCTGCTCCTGTGGGATGTAACATTCATATTAGTAATAGCAACTCAGAACTTAGATTCTTTAGGGTCTTTGGGATCCCTTATAGTCCAGTAGGATTCTGAATAATCGTGGAACCTCTTCCTTGGTTGAAAATGAGAACTCTGGTGAAATATGCATGAAAAGAACCAAATGGTACATGTGTTTTGTAACTTGTTCTTCTCCTCCCCCCCCCAATAGCAATTTGTTTTGGACCTCTTTCTCACGTAAATGTCTGAATGGTATACCATTGTATAAGTTAACACCATAATTTGGGGTATCCAAACTATCTTGACTGTGAAAATTGTAGCAGACGCTCTTTAAAAATATGATCATCTCAATAACCCAGCCTCAACTTAATGAATTAGACTCTCCCAAGGGGCCAGAGTTATCTGTACTTTTGGAAGCGCCCAAGTGATTCTAATCAGGCAAGTTTAAGAAACAGCTTTGTAATTTATTTAACCAGTCCTCTTTTGGTAGATATTTTGATTTTTTTTTTTAAGGATTTTATTTATTCATGAGACACACACACAGAGAGAGAGAGAGAGACAGAGACACGGGCAGAGGGAGAAGCAGGCTCCATGCAGGGAGCCTGACATGGGACTCGATCCGAGGACTCCAGGATCACGCCCTGGACTGAAGGCAGGCACCAAACCGCTGAGGCACCCAGTGATCCCATGTTTTGATTTTTTTTTTTTAGTTTTTTTTTTTTTTTTATTGTAAGACACTTACATGCATATACTTATACCCTTTTCCTTTCATAGTTGTACAATTTTATAACTAAGATTTCTTAGCGGTGAGATTATAATCTGTATTAAGAATCTTTTGATTGCGGGTAGCTGAAGTCCAACTTAAAGTAACTGAAGAAAGAAAACTTAATTGGCACAAATAAATGTTTTAGCTTGACCTGCTTCAAGCTGGATCTGGGGCCTCAAAGGATACTGGCAAGGTTTTGTTCTTTTTCTTTGCTTTACTTGTCTGTTTGGTCTCATTCTTCATGAAGGCTTTTTCACATGGGAGGCAAGTTGCATTGTAGTGCAAGCAGAAAGAGAACTTTGTCTTTAATACTCATATGTCAGTCGCAGGGAGGACTCCAAAGGGTCTTGCCTGAGTTACATACTGATGGAAGCCAGTCAGTCACTGGTAGCACTGCCACTTGGGAGTGCAAGAGGAATAGTGCTCCTAAGGAGGGGATGGTAATAGGCTCTACCCTGTTCACTATGCTATGTATGAGGGCATGCCCACTATAAATATTGACAGGTATAATTGGCACCCTTCTTTCCAGAAAGTTTGAACCCATGCACATTTCTACCAACCATATGTAAAGGATCTGTATACTCCTAAACACTGGGTTTTGAAAATTTTGAATATTTTCTAATTTGATGAGGGAAGGAATTCTTTTTTATGGGACAGTATAACATAGTGATTAAGAACTCTGAGTCTATCTGTTGGTGCCTTACTGGCTTCATCAGTTGTTATATAAGAGATTTAAGTAATTTATTCAGTTTTTTCATCTGAGTGAAGGGAGGCTAGGAACAGTACTTAGATTTTGATGCTATTATGAAGATTAAGTTGGATAGTTTATAAAGTACTGGCACTAGTGTCTGACACATAGTAAATATTTAATTATGTGGATTGTTAATGAGGTTTAACATTTTGTCACTTCTTTATGAATTACTGTATTTCTTTTGTGAGTTGCTGGTTCAGATCCTTTGTATGTTTTCTCTTGGATATTCATCTTTTTCTTACTGATTTGTAAGAAGTTTTTGCCTGTTATTACTTTGTGACATATATTTTGAAAAAAATGTATTTTGCTTTTTGGTGTTTTCTGTGGCACAGGTTTAAATTTATATAGGTAAATTTATGTAGGTAAAATTATAAACATTTAGTTTTTCATACTTGGCTTTTGTATCATTTTAAGAAATTTTTATTTAGTTTTCTTCCCATTTTACTTTAGAATTATTATAATACCTGTATTTTCTTTTAGTATATTTTAGTTTTATTTGTATATTTAAATATTTGATCTATCTGAAATATATTTTGAAAAAAAGAATAAGGTAAGGGTGTGATTTTATTTATTTCCAAATGTCTAAACTGTTGTCTCAACACCATTCAACTCATCTGTTTTTCCTTTTTAATTGGATATATGATTTTTATTGAGTAGTGGATTCCCTTATATATCATTGTTTCTTTTTTCATTTGTTTTCTCATTCCATTAGTTTTTTTGTCTTTCAGTGATAGTTTTAGATTGATTTTAATACTTTCATTTTAGCATATAGTTTAATGTTTGGCAGTTTAAGTGCACCCAGTCTCCTGGTTGTTCTGATTTGCCACTTAGATTTTGCTCTCTTTAGCTTTTGGGTGAATGGGCTATTTGATTAAGAGGTTAGTCTGTACTTAATGTGCAAATCTATAAAACAATAAGCTTATACTTTTCTCTACAATCTCTGGTAGGCTTGTCTTCAGAGTGTTCATCTTTCCCTTTGCTGTGTTTGGTTGAATGGTTTATCTCTTTGCTACGCATTCACTGCCTTTCTTTGGAGGGAAAGGGACTCTACATCTTTATTATAACTTCTCACAACTTCAGGTCTCCTTTCTACAGGGATACTACTTATGTTTTTAAGATTTCTAACCTTTCTTCAATGTTAACTCTTTTTCATGAGCCAGACTGAATTATATGTGGCTAATAATTCTCTGGAATTTGTATGAGAATCCTTTGTTGTTTTAATCCAGATGAAATTTGCTCCTATTTCTGGCTTTTATTCACTGTTGGGATGATATGGAGTGGCTTGTGAATGATTACTTAAATTATCAATGGTACAATGATCCTAATGAAAATCACATGCATAAAATACATACTTATTTGTTTAACAGAGGGAATATCATTTTCCAAGTGTCCTGAATGCTTTTGGCCCCATCCCATGTACTTTGTTTTTATTTACCAGCTAGATAGATATTGGAGTGTGCAAACCAGAAGATGGAAGACTGATGGGAGAATAAGATGATGTTTAAATTAGTAATTCCTGAGATATAGTTTGGGGTGATGAGAAGATTCAGGATGTGACCTAGGGAGGATGAAAGTTTGAGGTTGTGTGAAGAAGAGCAATGGAAGTAAGATCAAGGAAAACATTAGGTGATTCTTAATGAGTGATGGTAGGAGTTCAGGTTGAGAGTTTGACTATGAACCAGGTACTAAAGATTAGAAAAGAAGAAAAGAAGGTAGTATGGTTGGATGGAGTGGCAGAGACTGAGCAGAGTAAATATAGTCACAAAACAAAGAGAGTACTCTGTGGGGCTGTAGTAAAATGTCAGTTTGTAATGACACTATATATACATAAACATTTGGAACATGTATGTGCAGCACACACACACACACACACACACACACTCTGTGATTGACAGAGCCATTATATAAGGTTGGAAGTGTTGTCCACTGCACATCTCCAGGGTGTGCCATTCTCAATTCTGTAGTTAGTGTAGTTCGTGTGACTGGCACCCCTGGAGTTGTGCACAGCCAGTGTGGCAGATCTGGCAGTGCCTTCATGGGAACAAGAAGAACATTCTGTTTTTGTTAACTTCATTTAAGATATAATTTTTTAGCATTGTAATCAATAAAATAAAAGGAAGAAAAGGACTCTTAAGTTAAAGCATTTGCCACGGTTTAGCATAGTTTATCATTGAACTAATATTTTTTGGAATGCTTTTCATATTCAAGTTGCTGTGCCAAGAATGCAGAGGGTTGAAAACAAGGCCTCACCCTTGAGACATTATACTTCATTTGATAGGGTGGAGAAAAATTGGTAGTGATGGAGGAGACCTTCAAATAAAACAATAACTTGATGATTGGTTTTTTTAAAAAAAGTCTAGTGGTGGTTTAGAGAAGAAATAAATTACATCTAGTTTGGAATGAAAGAAGTTTTATAGAGGAATTGGCGTTAGATATGGAAAGATTTCTTTAGAAAGAGATTTTTTGTTGGACATGGGCTGAGGGCATTCCAGGTAGGAAATAATGCTTAAAAATTAGATGTTTAACCATCTGCAGATTTAACTGAGCAATACTATTTATTTTCACCCCAAACTTGGACAAATGAAAGCTGCATAATAGACTCTTGTGAAGTTTTAAAATAGCAATATGATT